GACAGGTTTTAAAACTTCTTTCTAGTGTATGCATTTTAATACGTTTTTGGATGTGAATCCAATTTTTGCAGCTGGCCCTGATCTTGGAATAATAAAACCTTTAAAAAAACCCATATATACTAACATCTCAAAGTTTCGTAAAGTTCAGATTTAGCTCTCAATTTACATAAAATATATTTGTTTGTCCTATCTGTAATATAGCTGTAGCTACAACAGACCCCATAATCCAAAATATTAAGGGGCTGGTCTGTAGGAAAATTGCAGCAAAATACTGAGTAGGAGGAAAAATAATGCCAAGTGTAACCTTGTGTGACATGTGCTGTTAACATGCATATATATACACACACACACATACACATATGGGGAATATTTATTTTGTGGTAAGTCAGTATTCGTTGTACTAGTATAATGTATTTCCTTTTTTCCCATCAATGTGCTGCCTCTCAACACAGGAGCGGTTGCTTGTATCAAGAGTGGACCACCTCACAACCCTTTCTTCGATAAGGAGCATGTCTGCGTAAAGTTTTTTGAGGATGTGGATAGTCTCCAAGCAAAAGCTGATTATTTGGAAGGGATCTGGATTTTGGGTGAGAGAAAATGGGAAGGCATATCCTGGCATTTCCCAGCCTAGCATTCAAGGGAGAAAAAGACTCAAACACCCTCCTGTGGGCCTGTCCTGGATGTATGCATCATCCTATGTGGTTTCTCACAGCACTGGCTTCTCCCACAGAGCAAGTACTCAAATAAAGGTAGAACGTCCTCTTCTGGTAGGAGAGAAGACTTGTTTCCTTTATTCCCGTCTAATTGTCCCGATTATCACAAAAAGAAGGCTTCGTTTCTGGAAAACAGCACTTTTACAAAGGTTCCCCTCTTTAAGGGGATTTAAGGTCTTTTCTGAGCACCGTTGCATTGTTTCATTTTATAAGCTTTCCCTTTAATTTTTTCTCTTCAGTATAGGGCAATACAAGTCTTCAACAGCCTTTTCTGTAGAAATTTCATGTGCTGTCTCTTAGTGTAACGTAGCATAAAAATTTGGATTACAAAGGTTCATTTCTTGATTTGGCCAAGACTTTTCCATGAAAAACAAGCAAACCAATTCCTGATAAAACTAAGCTCCAAAATATATTAACTGAATTCTAGTATTAGGTAGTGGATATGTGTGCTATTACACTGGAATTATTCCTACACATAAGTGAGACTGTTAAACATAGAACTTGTATTGTATGGTATTGATGAGTGTTGTGTGTATATGAATACAGGTACCTTGAACAGTTATTTTTTCTTTAAGTTGACCTAAAAGTTAATGTCTGTTTTCAGGTAGGAGGCAATGGATTGAATAAAGAAGTAGTAGGGATCTTACCTAATGAATACCACTGGTAAAAATTGCAAAGGGAGTATAAGTTTGACTGTCAGTAGAGATTTGGCAAGTCACATCTGAAAAGCTGTCATCCCTTTTGACCAAGACAGCTGTAAACAGGTACACTGTCTGAAACTTCTCCCTGTGGTTCAGTGGAAAGAAGGAATTGAGCATGGTCAAGCAGTCCTCTTGCAGGTGAGCAATTTGCAGTTTTAATAATCCACCCTACGATACATGCTCAGACTGTCTGGAGGACACCCTAAAGGTTTAGCCTGATTCATTGTGGTTCACAGGAAGAACAGGAGGACAGTGTGACTGTGAGTAGTCTGATCTTACATATGTAAAGTTTCTGGTAGCCCATGGAGGTTTAGCAACTCTGTGTGTTTGTGGTGTCGTTCGTACTGTAGAAAGGGCATATAGACAGGGGGCATTCACATTTTAGGTCAGATAAAATTGACATAGATGTGGTATGAACCAAACTGACCCCTTTCCTACCTTTTATTGGTGATTCAGGGAGGAGTAACAGAATTGTGTATCGCTCTGCAGTTTGGTGGATACTTTCCCCTTGTTGTAGGCCAGAACAGGACAAGCTGTCTTAGAGACTCCAAAGAAATTTTCTTTTCTTGTGTTGGCAGTACCATGAACCAGCACTGAGGAAGTGCAGTAAGCCTTATTATTCAGTATCCATTGCAAACAGGATGTGATGTGGTAAGACGAGGTTTAACGCGTGAGTGGAATGAAAACAGGTTGCTAAACAAGTTACAAAAGCTTTCCAGGTTATTGAAAACTTGGACAAAAGTACGATATTCCAGTAGAAAATAGGAGTGGAAAAAATTGTAAGGAA